AACGTGGAGGAGGAGGAGAGGAGGAGGAGGAGGAGGAGGCGAGGAAACGACGTGGAGGAGGAGGAGGAGGAGGAGGAGGAGGAGGAGGAGGAGGAGGAGGAGGAGGAGGAGGAGGAGAGGAGGATGGGAGGAGGAGGAGGAGGAGGAGGAGGGGAGGAGGAGGAGGAGGAGGGGGAGGAGGAGACGAGAAGAGAAGGAGAAGAGGAGGAGGAGGAGGAGGAGGAAGAGGGGAGGAGGAGGAGGAGAAGGAGGAGGCGGAGGCGGGGGCGGGGGCGGAGGCGGAGGCGGAGGCGGAGGCGGAGGAGGATGAGGAGAGGCTGAGGCGGAGGCGGATGCGGAGGAGGAAGGAGGAGGCAGTGTCGTTCCCACCGTTGTTGTCGACGACTCTTCGTTGCACAGAATCGGTTCGCAGTCCGGAGTTTCTCGTGAGCTGGTCCAGGCTTCGTTGGCGTTGCAGACGGCGCTAGCAGCAGTTGACCTACGTGTGTATGTAGATAGGTCACGAGGGTTGTGCAATGACTTGTGTGTGCGTGATGATGTGTGCGTGATGATGTGGACGGCGTCTAGAGCATGCTGTGCGTAAAGACCGTTGACGTGGTGCTCGGCATCGTCTGCGTCGGATTGGTCCTATCCGCACTGGCACCAAGAAACGTTTCGCGGTTCGTAGGGCGGCTCGTTCAGGGTTGAAGGCGAGTAGGTCGTACGGCATGAATCACTGGGTGTTCCACGTCCAACCTTGAGACCATGCGTAGCACTGACTGTTCAGCCCTGACTGGGGCCACTGCGGGGAAATCTCGCACTTTAACCTTGCTGTGCGAAGCGGATGTGGAACCAATCTTCCGTGCCACATTTCTGCCTGTTGTCACGCTCTGTCGAGCGATATGGGAGGGATGGGTGCCGAATCACGTGTTGCGGGAGGGGATGGAAGGATCTGCCACGGTCTCTCTGTGGACGGAGGTGGCTGGCCCGTTCAGCGCTTGTCGACTCTCTCTCGCTCGTGTTGGTAGTTCGGTGCGATCCGCGTGTGTGTGTGTGTGTGTGTGGACCATTCGCGACGGGATTGAGTTAGGTGTTTCGGCCATGTGTCCCAGGGTGTTCCGTCATTACCTTGTGCAGGCTGCCGCCGCCTTGCAATGGCGACAAGTGGCTAAGCACGATGATTTGAAGCACCTCGAGTTTGGCGCGGTTTGGTTGCCGTCCAGGCTGTCTCTAGTGGGCGTCCTCGCTGTGGGAGAAATCGTGATCTTCGTGCCCTGGGGCCCGAAGGTCGTGCGTATCTTATGTCGTGTATAGTGAATGGGCAGTGGCCCATGGCCGGGAAGTTCGAGGCTCGGCTTACATTGAATAACGGATGTCTTGTGTGTAGACTGCCGAGCATGCTTGCTCACAGGCCTTGCGAGTGTGAGATGTGCCAACAGTTGCTTTGCCCTGATGTGTTTGCTCCGTTGGTCCAGGCTCAGGATCGGCACCAGGTCCGCGCCCTCCTGGAGCGCGCTCTTTGTCCCTATCTTCAGACCTCCTGGATGCCCCCTGCCCAAGGCACCGTCGTCTGGCATCGGCATTCGGGCCCTGGGGTCCTGGTGGCCACGGAACACTTTCTGGACGGTTTTGCTCCTTCGAGCGTCAGGGGAGTAGCCTGTGTGCAGCAGGGGCCGTGGTCACATTGTACGATGAGGCCCCCCTTGGAATGGCGGACGTTGTGTATTGCGCGTGCTCGCATGCTGTCTTTGATATAGTTGATTCAGTCATCCCCCCGTGCCCTTTGCCATGCGCAGCAACGACTCTGCAGCTGTGAGTAGGCTCTAAGACAAAACGCGCGCGCCCGCTCGTCCATCGGCCGGCCAGCCCTCCCGCTTAGTATCCCGATTGTCAACCGAAGCTTGACGGACAATTTGACTCATGCAGCCATGGCGACCAGAAGTGTGCCACCGATCCGCAAGATGAGCTTGATCGGGAGACTGTTACAGGAAGCGCATGCGTGATAACAACCACGATATGAGCACGATCACATTTTGCGTATGAGTTGGGCCACGACATATCCCACATGACGAAACTCTGGGCAAACTATTGGTCAACAGCCGAAAGTTCGACCGTCGATGGAAGTTGTTCTACCAGATGAGGATTTTTGCACCGACCATCCGAGGGTGATGTACGAACGAAAAAAGAACCACGCCGCGGATTGAGCGTGGGTGTTCCTGAATCATATTCTGCCTATTATGTCGGGGAACCGAGCCGACGCCCTCGCTCCGAGACCAGTTGGAACATCTTCTCCGACGACGAGCCTCATCTAGATTCTCCGAGGATAAAAGGGCATCGCGCGTCGCGACCGGGAAGGGTAGTATGAAGAGGATTATATCCACTTGGTGAGCAATCTGATATCCCCATCCATCTCTCGGACGACGAGCGCAGTGTGGAGTCAACTTCATCGGGGGGGGAATTTCTCGCAGGTCGACGCCCAGACCCATCGGCTTCTGTGATGATCATCGGCCACGCGACGGAAGAGGCGAGGCCGATGGCCGCGCGTCCCCTGTTATTGTGGGCGGTTTCCAGCCCCCCGCGCAGATGCCGCCTGCGAGCGGCGAGGGTGCCACGATTCCTTCTGGCGATTCCTTGGGGCGGAATTGTGGGGCGAGCAAGTAGAGACGCGATCCGTTAGCCTTTCGACTAGGTCGCCACTCGGGAAGCGGGGCGGATCCGGCGGCGTCCCAGAGTGCAACACAAAAAGTCCGTTCCGGGGGGGGAGGCCCGGGAGCTGCGCCCCCGGGCCCCCGCCGCCCCGGATAATCCAGATGCCGTAAAAGTTATGGAAAATCTTAAAGACTTCCGGAAATCCAGGAGGGTTGGGGATCGGTGGTATTTCCTTGAAGATTTGCAGAAGTTCAGGGCCAAATCGTCATCTTTTGTATATATCACTACTCAACAAAATTCATCATTATACTGATTAACCACTGGCATTCAAATATCAGTATAATAACTTGCTGTGCTTTTGTATTATGACGATGTTGTTCAGGTGATACCACGCCAACCTAATGTTGTTGCGACGCTACTTGTTGGCCCACGTCGGGCGCATCGCACACGCACCACAGGTACCACAGGTCCCACAACTCCCGCGGGTCCCACAGGCCGCACGGGTCCCACAGGTCCTTCGGTGCTAGCTGGGTGGTTTTGCTGGAGTGCTGTGTCCAAGCCCTCCTGTGCCGGGTGCTCGTTTCGAATAGGGCACAGCGGTCGCTCTCCTCCTCCCGCCTCCGTTCTCCTCTCTTCCACCATGCCAGCCATTTCTTCCTTCCTCCGTTCCACCTGGCTCATTCCTGCCAGCTTGCCTTCTGCCATCCCTGCGGGGGCTGCGAAATGCGAATCTGTCGCCACTTTCGAGGATTGCTGGGGGCAACACAGTGACATCCTACGCGGATTCGTATTGGACCTCGCCATCCCTGGGGGGCTGCGAGCGCGACGCTGTCGAATTATTGCCAAATTCGAGGGGGGCGGGGGGGAGCCAGCACAGTGATGTCCTTCGCGGGTTCAGATCTGATCTCGCTACCCCTAGAGGGCACGAGCTGCGAAACTGTCGCCGCGGTCGAAGCCTGGTGGCAGGGGAATACAATGACGTCCTACGCGGATGCATATAGGGCCTCGCCATCCTTTGGGGCCGGCGAGCTGCGAGAGTGTCGCCACTTTCGAGGACTTGTTTAGAAGGCCAACGCAGTGACGTCCTACGCGGATTCCGATTGGAGCTCGGCATTCTTTGGGGGCTGCGAGCTACGACGCTGTCGCCACTTTCGAGGACTGCTGGGGCAACGCAGTGACGTCCTACGCGGATTCAGATTGGACCTCGCCATCCCTGTGGGGTTGCGATCTGCGAAGTTGTCGCCACCTTCGAGGGCTGTTGGGAGGCAGCGCAGTGGCACCTCGCCATCCCGGGTGGGTTGCGAACAACGACGCTGTCGCCACTTTCGAAGCTGTTGGGGGCGCCATTGCAGTGACGTCCCACGCGGATTCATTTTCGACCTCACAGTCCTTGGGAGGCTGCGAAGTGCGATACCGTCGCCGCTTTGGAGCACTGCTGTGGGGGCAACACAGTTGCGTCCTTCGCGGATGCAGATTGGGACCTCGCCGTCCTTAGGGCGCTGCGGGCCAGCACAGGGCTGTCCTACGCGGGCCCAGATTCGACTTTGCCATCCTCCTTTGGCGGCGTGCGAGTTCGGCCTCGCTCGCATCCTGCAGTAGCTATGGGCAACCCATCATTAAGGGCGCCAGGGCGACACCGCTGCGCATCACCGAGCTATTAGAAAAAATCGCCACCCTCCTTGTCATCCTCTTCCTCCTTCGCCGTATCCCTGCAGCTGCAGCCTCGTTGACTCTTAGGCCCCCCTTCTGTCCTTCTCTTGTCTTTTCTTCCCGCCCCCTTTCTCTCCGAGCCCTCGGCTTCGTTTCTTCTCATTCTATTGCTGCCCTGTGAGTCGTGCAAAGGGAGCGCACCCGAGTTGACTTGCAACACAGACGGCGGCTCGTGTAGCGTCATCATCCATAACCCGTGTGGGCCAACTACTCTGGTTACTTGATTCAAATGGGTTGGATACGTCGCAGGCTGCATTGTACAAGGGCCCCCTGGAATTCCCGACGCTTCCCCAGTGCTGGTGTTTTTTTCCCGAGCTGTTTTGTGGCGGCCCAGTGCCCAGCGAGGTCGAACACGCGCGAGCATGTTTGTATTCTTTGGGCCCGGGGCGCCTTGTTGGAAAGGGCCTGAAGCGTGGAGGGCTGGTTAGGACGCAATTTCTGGAAGTTTGAGTGTCGTATCGGCGCTTGCATATCCGCGACGGGTAAGTTTAGTAGCATCCCGCATTTTTCGGCTTACTCCTAGGCGTAATATGGTTGAGTCCGGCTTGATCCTCAGCTCAATCTGGGCTAAGTCGACCTTGCGGCCTTTTCATAGGGCCAAGTGGCTGTTAGCAGTCCCTGCAACGGCCTCCCAGGAGACGCTTCCGAAGGCAGGGCACCAGCGCGCGGGGATCCCGAGGCCAGGGTGTTCGCTTACGGGAAGAGCGGCACCGCCCTGCTGGTCGGCGCGGCCTTGTCCAAGGCAGGCCGGTGCTTCTCTCGCCGCCTCGGCCCAGGGAGGTTTCCAGACCTCCCGTGCGTGGGCAAATCGGCGAAGATCAGAGGAGGAAAAGGTCACGATATTGCTACCTTTATTTCGTTTTTGCCTTGTCGGGCCTCGAGGGAGGTCGTCGTCGTCGCCACGTATCTAATCGCATCGAAATTCTGGTCAGAACGTATCCCGGGAGAGGTCCGTGGAGTAGCGGTATCGGTACCTTCTGCCCCACAAGATCGGCACGGAGTTTTGACCAACCATCCAGTGCTGTTGGATTCTCATTTTGAATCCGCACCGACCCGCGTCACCTCACCCACTCCCAGTCCCCCTCCTTCCTCCTCCCATCCCTGCCTCTGCTCTCCGCGTGTCGATTTCGGCACACCCTTCAGGCGTTTCGTGGCCACACAAGGAGCTCCCTTTAATCCGCCACACATATATATATATATATATATATATATATATAGATGTGTGTATACACAGGCACCCTCCAATGGATTGTTCCTGGGCCTCAGGGTAGGGCGGCGGTGTATACATCTCGACTGCGAGCCAGCACATATTGTACATGCAAACTTCGTCGGCGGGTGTCTGTGTGTGTGTGTGTGTGTGTGTGTGTGTATACATATGTATGTATGTGTGGCGTACTTACGGCCCCAGTGGGTACGTGCACACGCGGTTCTCCGCCCATTGCAGCACAAGGCCCGAGTGGTACATTCACATGCGGTTCCCCGCGGGACTCTCACTCGTTTCGTGTCCCCATTGGGAGCCCCACCGCTGTTCCCCGCCCAGTTCTGCAGAACCATTACACTTTTCGTGACCCCATGGGGAGTTCCACCCACGGCCCCGGTGGGTGGATTCACATGCGGTTCCCCGCCCATTTCGGAACACCCCTCACACGTTTCACACGTCTCGCTGCCCCACAGGGAGCTCCACCGAAGGTTCCAGAGTGTGCGCTCAAACGTGGTTCTCCGCCCATTTCGGCACAGCCCTCACACATTTCGCGGCTCCGCAGGGAGCTCCACCTGCGGCCCCAGCGAGGGCGTTCACATGCGGTTCCTCGCCCATTTCGGCACACCTCTCATACGTTCCGTGGCCATATGGGGAGCTCCACCTGAGGCCCAAGTGTGTGCACTCACATGCGGTTCCCCGTCTGTTTCGGAACATCCCTCGCACGTTTCGTGGCTGTGCAGTGAGCCCCACCGAAGGCAGGGTTCATTCCGACTCTGCGGGCTCGATTCGATTCGATTTCCCCGGCTTCCAATTCGAACCGATCCGATCTGGAGATCCCGATTCGTGATTCCAAATTCGAGTTCGCCCGATCCGACTCCTGCCGATTCGATGTGTCAGCCGATTTCTGCCGATTCTGGCCGACACGGCTTCGTTCCAGAGGTAGGCTTTAAGCCGTATTGTGGTTCACGCAGTTGCACGTCTATGCCCCGACGGGGCCTCAGCCCGAAGTTTTTTGAGTGCCGTTCCGCGCAGTGTTTTGTCGTGTCCGTCAGCCGCCCCGCCTGTCCTGAAGTCCGAGCCCGACGAGACTGCCTCGCCGCCGACGCTGGTGAAGCTGGAGCTGGAGGAGGGTGGTCGGAAAGCGGTTGCCCTGAGGGGCCCCCAGGGATCGGGGTTGGGCCCCCAGTGCTAGGGGGCTTCGGCCTCCCTTGGGGCCCCGGACCTGACCTCTGGGAGCCCTTGATGCCCCAAGGGGCCCCTTGGGGACCCTGGGGGCCCCTGGAGGTTGGAGCCCATGGGGCTCCGACCCCCAGGGGCTCCAGCCCCGACCTCTCGGAGCTCCTTGGGGTCGGCACTTCGACGATACGTGCAACGGCGACGACGACGACGACGCACGAAGACGACGACGACGCACGAAGACGAAGACGACGTGTACGACGACTTGTACGACGACGTGTAGGACGACGCGCGACCAGAACGTGCGCCGACGTGCGGCAACAACATTCGGACTGATCACCTCCTTCGCTTTCTTCCTTGCCTTCTGATTTCGATTCCGATCCGGCTTCAGGCGAGCTTCTTTCCGATTCGATCCGGTTCGGGTGCGCCGATTCTTGCCGATTCGGTGGCGCAGCCGACTCTTGCCGATTCTTGCCGATTCGGTGCTCCCGCCGATCCGCTCCGATTTATCGAGCCGATGCTGGGGCCGCCTGCCGAAGTCCCCAGTGGCAAGGTTCGCATGGCGGCGCCGCACCCATTTCGTCACACCCGTTCACACGTTTCGCAGCTTTCATCCGCGCTTGGTCAGCCAGCAAGCCAGCCCCAGGCTCCATGCCTCTCGCGGCGCTCCATTTCTGGGGAGGGGGCCATGTCCTGCGTTATGCACAGCTGCATCTTGTTGTGCCTCTCGGCAGGCCAATCTTTTTGCTTTGGGGCCCTCGCCTGTCCCCAGGGACCGATAAACAGCGGCTCGGGCTGAGAAGCTGGCCCTGGGGAATGGGTCGGTACCTTCGCGGACCCCACAGCATCGAATGGGTCGGGAATGCATCGAATCTGTGGGTCCCCTGCCAGCTCGTGGCTTCCTCGACTTTTCTCCTGTGCCCATCATTCGTCATGAGAATGATCCCGAGGGGGAGGAGGAGAAGGAGGAGGGGGAGGAGGAGAAGGAGGATGATGATGAGGAGGAGGAGGAGGAGGAGGAGGAGCAGGAGCAGGAGCAGGAGCAGGAGAAGGAGGAGGGGGTGGGGGAGGGGGAGGAGGCGGAGGAGCAGGAGCAGGAGACTAATAATAAGAAGAAGGCAAACCATACTACTCTTTACTATGGAGAGGAATGCGACTCAGAATGCCAATATAATGAAACGACATCGTCATAATCGCGCTAGCAAGAATATGGAGACGATACCGACTAATACGAATACTGCGAATACTAGTGTCACGGAGAATACACCGAGAAGGCGAGTGACAATAACAATACTAAGACGAGTTCTAATCATATGACGAGCCATGCCAATCATGATTGGGGATCACATTCATAGTGGTAACACCACTAATGCGAAACTAAAACTGACAATGATGAGACGACTAAGTAAGGTACTCATGGAACTGGTGTGGATAACCAGACAACGAAGACCACTACTACAAACACTAACACTAATCATGCGAAGAAGAAGAAGAAGGAGGCGATACGGAGGAAGATGACGAGCAGGAGGAGGAGGGCGGGCGGAATGGGGAGGCTTGCGCCGCGAGGCAATGCGGAAAGATGGCTGCTGCTTAGCACCTGTGCGCGGCTGCGCTGACCTCCTTGTAGGGCACGGTCCGCGTGAAGAGTGTGCCGAATCAGTCGGATGCCCCCGCGCGAAAAGGCACCCTGAGGCCGCAGGTGGATCCCCTTGGGGCACGATCCGTGCGAGGCACGTTGCGAAATGGGCGGAGGGACGCCACGCGAAGCTGCGGCGGCATTGGCGGGCCTTCTTCCTTATGGGGCATGATTCGTGTGACAAGTGTGCCGACATCGGCGGTGGGCGTTGTCCGAACCTTGTATTCGGGACTTTAGGTGATGCTCCTTGTGGGCACGCTCCGCGTGATGGGGTGTGCCGCAATGGCCAGGGGGGGCGCAGTGCGAACCCTCCCTTTGGGGCCGTAGGTGGAGATCCCTGCGGTCCACGATCCGTGTGAGAGGTGTGCCGAAGTAGGCTGGTTGGCGGGATGCGAACCTTGTCCCTGAGGCCGTCCGTGGAAGTCACTGCGGGCCTCGATCCCTGTGAGAGGTGTGCCGAAGCGAGCGGGACGACGCTATGAAGCTTCCTTTTGTTGTTGCAGATGCAGTTATTTGCGGGGCACGATCCGCCTGAGGGGCGTGCCTCTATACGAGCCTCGTCTCTCGGGACTGGGTTGGTTGGAGTACCTGTGGGGTGCGATCCCTGTGAGCGGTGTGCCGACATGGGCGGGTGGAACCTAAGCCAAATCTGTTTCTGGGTCCGAAGGTGGAGCTCCCTGAGGGGCACGATCCGTGCGACATTTATATGTCACCCGATGCTGAACACTATGACGTACAACTTTCTCCTATCAGAATTTACGCGCGCGAATCGCGCGCGTGGTTCTAATATGTCTGTATGTATGTATGTATGCATGTCTGTCTGCCTGCCCGTCTGTCTGTCTGCCTGTATGCATATGTATATGTATGTATGTATGTATGTACGTACGTACGTACATACGTACGTACGTATGTACGTATGTACGTATGTACGTATGTACGTATGTACGTACGTACGTACGTACGTATGTACGTATGTACGTATGTACGTATGTACGTATGTACGCATGTACGTATGTACGTATGTACGCATGTACGTATGTACGTATGTATGTATGTAGGTAGGTAGGTAGGTAGGTAGATATGTGTGTGCATATATGTATGTATGTATGCATGCATGCGTGTATGTATGTATGTATGCATGCATGCATGCATGCATGCAAGCATGCATGTATGTATGTCTGTACGTATGTATGTATGTATAGGTATATGTATATGTATAGGTGTATGTATGCATGTATGTATGTATGTATGCATGCATGCATGCATGTATGTATGTATGTATGTATGTGTGTAGGTATGTATGTGTGTATGTATGTATGTATGTATGTATGTATGTATGTATGTATTGATGTATGTATGTATGTATGTATGTATGTATGTATGTATGTATGTATGTATGTATGTATGTATGTATGTATTTATGTATGTATGTATGTATGTATGTATGTATGCATGCATGTATGTATGTATGTATGAGTGTAGGTATGTAGGCGTGTATGTATGCATGTATGCATGCATGCATGCATGTATGTATGTATGTATGTGTGTATGCATGCATGCATGCATGCATGCATGCATGCATGCATGTATTTGTTTGTACACATATATATGTATATATATATATATATAGATATATGTATATATGTGTGTGTGTATATATATATATATATGTATGAGTAGGCCGGGGGGGGGCAACATCGGTGCCGTTATCCCCCATGGCCGCCCCCCC